CAGAGCTTCCAGATGAGAACTCAGTCCAGTTGGCACCTTGATTATAGCCTTGGGATACTGAGCAGAGAACCCAGCCACACCATGCAGAACTTCTGACATATATGATTTTGAGATGATAAATGGGTTTTGAGAGGTAATTTGTTACACAGCAGTAGAACACTAAGGTACCTTAGCCTCAAGGCCCACTTCTAGTTCTTTCTCCATGACTTCCTACTACAAAGCCCTGGCATGACCTGCTTATATGACTCCTTTCTCCTTCAGGGCACTTAGCACAGTTGTCTTTTATTAGGTGACCATTTTACGTATCCCTCCCATCTCTTCATGTCAGAGGCTGTTAGATGTCCCCCAATATCTGTTCTGCTCTTCCTTCACAGTAACAGAACCCCAGATTTATAGCTGGGCACTTAGCCACATGGTTTCAAAATTGACACTCAGCTAGTTACAAAGCTTCAGTTTTCTCATCTCTAAAATGGGGATAATGTTTTCAAACTCTTTGAATACAAAAGCTATAATACAAAGGATACAATAAGCACTCAAATACATGTTACCAGAGAGAGGAAAAGGTCAACTCACAGCCTACACTACACTAAGAACCATCACAAAAGGAAGTCATAAATAATGTGGTGAAGACCTTATGGTCAAGTTCCAAGAGGAGATCTTCCTGGGCCTGAGGGTAAGAAAGGGTTTATGGGATGGTGAAACAAACCTGGCCTCAAAAGAAAAACAATACTTGGTTAGACAGGCAAGAGGGCATACATTCCAGAATGAGCAAGACCAGCAGGTGGGAGCATGTTCCGGGACAGTGATTAATTTCACAGGACAGAAGTAAATGTTCATACAACTCAAAGACAAGAAAGGAAGAAAAGGTAAATTTCCACAAGATTATAACCTACAGAGGTTAAAGATGGAGCGACATTTGCTCGTGGTTGTGGTAGCTCAACGTTACTCTTTGCCATGTAATTAGCTTGAAGGCCACTAATGATAGGGAAGATTGTAAGATATATAAGAATTTAGCATTTTCCAGTTAGAAAAAATTGGGAAAGAGTTTTAGACAGTGCCCATGACATGGGAAACTTTAGATTCTTTCAAGTCCATAGCAATTCTCTGAGGTAGGTGGAAAACAAGAAGTACAGTTCTCACTTATTACACAGTCTAGGACATTGAGACGTAGTAGCAGCTGTCAGTGTGAGTACAGTTTGTGGACATTTCAGTCAAGGAGAGAGAATCCTCTATATTTAGTTGGGATGCTCAGTTTCACTCCCTGTGTCTGTGCTCTCCTCCTGGGGAGGTGTGGGACTGCTCTGTATCAGTCATGTGTCTAAGGATTTCCTTACACCTACTCAGTACACTGCAGGGCACTTCATGCCCACATGGGTGAATCTACAGCTTACACATACACACTGCATTTCCCCAACTCACTATAGATGTACCTTCTCTCTCTAGAACACGTGACCAGCCCCTTCCCCATGCTGTCCCCACATCACAACCACATAGTGGCTCAATCACTAGCTCTTCCTTCCCCTCCCCAAATGCTGCATATACACCACACCCCACTCTCCACTCCCACCCAAAACCACAACCACTTCCACCATCACTTTGAAAACACTGTGGTTCTTCTTTTTCTTTTTTACCCGTGGCTTTATTAAGGTGGAATTAATAAACAGAAACTATTTATTTGCTTATAAAAAATATATGGTATCATATATGTATATATACATTAATAGTGTCCAGTATGGTGTTTTGATATACATACACATTGTGAAATGATTACCACCATCAAGCTAATTAACATATCCATCACCTCATTTAGTTACCATTTTGTGTGTGTGTTTACAATACTTGACATACTCTCAGAAAATTTCAAGTATATATAAACTACAGTCACCATGCTATACATTCAGTCTCCAGAACTCAGCCATCCTATAACTAGAAGTTTGCACCCCTTGACCAACGTTTCCCCATTTCTCCTACTCCCTCCCCCTGTCCCCTAGTAACTACCCTTCTACTCTCTGTTCCTGAGTTTGAATTTTTAAAATTCCACCTGTAAGTGAGATCATGCAGTATTTATCTTTCTGTGTCTGGCTTATTTCACTTAGCGTAATGTCCTCCAGTTTTATCCATGTTGTTGCAAATGGCAGCATTTCCTTCTTTTTTAAAGCTGAATAATATTCCACAGTATACATATACACCACACACTTTCATATCCTTTGGTGGACACCTTAGGTTGTTTCCATGTTGTGGCTATTGTGAGTAATGCTGTAGTGAACATGAGAGCACAGATATCACCTCAAAAGCTAGATTTTATTTCCTTTGGGTTTATACCCAGCAGTGGGATTGCATTTTTCCAAAGAAGACATCCAAAAAGGTGCTCAAAATCACTAATCGTCAGGAAAATGCAAATCAAAACCACATTGAGATCACCTCATATCTGTTAGAATGTTTTCTATCAAAAAGTCAAAAAATAACAAGTGTTAGAGAAGATATGGAGAAAAGTGAATCCTTATACACTGTGGGGAATATAAGTTGGTACAACCATGATGGAAATCAGCATAGAAGTTCCTCAAAAAGTTAAAAATAGAACTACCATATGATGCTGCTCTTCTTTCTTGACCAATTTTTTTAAAAATCATTGTGAATTTAAATCATTTTCAGCTCTACACTTTTTTCCAGTTTTTTCAATTTTTTATTGCACTTCAACCTTCTACACTGTGTGAGAAAGCTACAAAGATTATTAAAAATCATGTAAAATTCCAGCTCCCAGAGATAACTACTAATAATAACATTTTAAAATATTCCCTTTCAGCCTTTTTTCTGTTCATATATATTTTTATGTGTTCAGTTTTTTCTCATACAGATTTTTTTCTGAGATAATTTGCATACTATAAAATTCACCCTTTTAAAATAGTGTTCAATTTTTATTCCTGCTATTTTTACCTTAACATTATTATATCAAGAACATAATATCAACAACATATACCCATGACATTGAATATTCTTCAAAACTTGATTTTCATAGTCAGTTGATAGCCATATTACATTTAAAGTGTGCAAGAATCATAATTTAATTAAACATCTTCCTATTTGGGACATTTAGTCTATCTCCAACTTTTTATTATTCTAAATAGTGCTTTGAAAAATAGCCTTGAGTTTTTATTTTTATAGGCATTGAATTGTTGCTTTAACACGTTTATTACTTATGAGATGGACAAATACCATTGGTTCCTATTCAACAGTCATTCTCTGCTTCATCCTTAGATTGTAGAATCTAATACTTTGGAGACATATATTAGTTATCTATTGCTGCATATAAGTTACTCCAAATAATGATCTTATTCTCTTTCATGTTTTCTGTGACTTGGGAATTTGGAAATGGCTTGGCTGGGAAGTTCTAGTTCAGAGTCTCTCATGAGGCTGCAGTGAGATAGTAGCTATAGCTGGGCTCATCGCAAAAGCAAGGCAGGAAAGAATTCTCAAAAAAACGAATTTCTTCTGTACAGCACAGGAAACTATATTCAATATCTTGTAATAACATGTAATGAAAAAGAATATGAAAACGAATATATGTATGTATATGCTTGACTGGGACATTGTGCTGTACATCAGAAATTGACACATTGTCACTGACTCTACTTCAGTTAAAAAGAAGAATTCTCTGTTACTTGGCAGGGCAGGGAGAGTCATGCTTTTTGTTCTATTCAGGGCTTCACTTGATTGGATGGGGCCCACTCACATTAGGGAAGGCAATCTGTGTTACTCAGTCTACCAAGTTAAATGTTAGTCTCATCCAAAGACGTCTTCACAGAAACACCCAGAATAACGTTTGACCAAATATCTGGACACCTCATGGCCCAGTCTAGCTGACACAAAATGACCCAACATGCTGAGCAACTAAATTTTGTTGTTTAAGTCAGTTTGATTAGCATTTTCTTTCGATTGCAACCAAAAGAAACTAACTTGATATGGGGCACCTACTGTATGCCAGACTGTGCCAGGTGCACAGAGGTGGTGACTCAGACAGACAGAGCTTACAGTCTAGCAACGTGTATAGGAAAGCCATCGCTTTTTTTTGAAAAATGTTATTAAAGTATAATATTCAGATAACTGCAGCCTGATTGACACTTGACTGCAATCTTATGAGAGACCCCAAACTAGAACCACCAGATAAGCTGTTCCCAAATCCCTGACCCAGAGGAATTTACGTGAGATAATAAATGTTTTTTGTTCTTTTATGCCATTAATATTCTGGGTAATTTCATACACAGGAATAGTTATCTAAAACACCCCTGCCCCGGAAGTACTCACTGATCTCATTTCTATCATCCTCCTAGATTAGCATTGCCTGTGCTTGATGTTTGTGCAAATGGAATCACACAGTATGTACTTTTCTGTGCCTGGCTTCTTCCAGTTATCATTATAGCTATGAGATTCATCCAGATGCTCACATCCAGCAGTAGTCTGTTCTTTTGTTGTTGCTGCGTAGTATTTCATTTTATGAATATACTAAAATTTAGCCTTTGTCCTGTTGGTGGACATTTGATTTTTTCCCCCAAATTTTGGTTATATGACTAAAACTTCTATGAACACTCATATATGTCGTTTAGTTGGACAGATACACTCATATTTCTCGGAACTCTTTTTTTTTTTTGCATTCGAAGCAGGGCCTGCACGAGAACCCGGTGGCTGCTGGGAAAGCTTCCCGCTGCCTCTGAGAAGTGCACTAACCGCCATACTAAGTAAGAACTTGAGCAAACGCTGCAAAGCGACCGGAAATGGTGCCCCACGCGGCCAGCTGCTGTGAAGTTCCACCACGAGCCGTGCGAGACCCGTAGCGGGTGACGCACAGCTCCCCGCCGAACGAGAACAAGCCGCGCACACGCTGAGCCTGTGCCCGGGGAAGGACGGCCAAGACCCCGTCACCAACAGCGCGGGGGGTCAAGAAGCGCTTGTGGGAGAAAGAAAAAGAACACACAACAACAGCTCTGTATTTTCATACCGCAAACTCAGGGGAAACGCCAACGCAGTCCCGCACTACCACAAATTATGCAGTCGAGTTTCCCACATCTGCGGAAATCGCAAGGGGTCAGCATATCCCGCGCGCGACGGATAAGCCTCGCCCTGGGAAAAGCGCCTTCGTGATCGTGGTGTCTCCCCTGCCAGGCAAGTATCGGAAGCCATTTTTAATGTAATAGTTCTTGCTGCTTCTAACTTTCCAATGCTAGTGCCTACTCTGATATTTTATTTATTCATTTCTCCTGCTTTTCTTTTTAAAATGACTGCAAATGCAGTCATTTATCTTTTCACCATTTCCAAACAATCCTTAATTTGCACGTGTTAAATACTTAAAATGGTAAGAGGACACACTGTTTCCTTAGTTGCGCAGATGGGTTCTCCATATCTTCCTCATTCCCATGGGTTTTCTTAATCCATCAAATGGAACTTTCAGTCCTAGATTTTTATGTACAGAGAACTTCTTTCAGCAGTGTTTTTGCAGATCCCAGTTTAACCCTAGAGAGTAAAGCTACTGTTCAGCAAAACTGTTAGCTAATTTCTGCATATGCCAGCAGTTCTTAAGCTTTTTGGTCTCAGGATCTCTATAAAGTCCTAAAAATTACGGAAGACCCCAAAGATTTTTTGTTTATGTGACTATAGTTATTAATATTTACTGTTTTAAAGAAATTATAAAACTTTTACATATTTATTCACTTAAAAATAACCATAATAAACCCATCATGTGTTAACATAAATAACTTATTTTATGAAAAATAATGTGGACCCCCAATACTGTTTCAGAGACTCAAGGGGATCCCTAGACTACACTTTGAAGCACTGGCCCTTGCTTATGAGTTCCTTGTCCCATCACACTGTATTGTAGCAGTCATCTGTTATTTTGACTTCCAAGCATCACATTCATCTTTACTTGGTGATAAAACCCTTCTTTCCTAAAGAGAACCTATCGCAGATGGTCCAGATGAGGCTGACCACACCTCTTTTCCCACTCAATGATAAGCATGTGATCCCTGAATGGCCCAAGATTCTTAGGAACTCTCATGCTGAGCTATTAGAAAATTCTGTTTGTCCCTCTCTCTCTTTCCCCATCCTCTCCACTCCCTCTCCACACACCCACCCAGCCACCCCCTGAGGCTGTGAATCATGGCCTGACAACAACTTTCTTCCCCATTAGGTAGAGAGAGCTGTCTAAGAGCTGGAAAGACCCAGTCCTTGATGACATTTGAACAGTGAAGGGGCTGAAAAGCCCCTTTCCTCTTCTCAGTTCTATCAGCCATTTCCCTTTAGGTTAGATTTATATCACTGACAACTGAAGGAGACCTGATTAACGCACATTGATAACATTTGCACATCAGTGAAAATCCTCAATATTTAAGTGGAACATGAGAATTTCAGGCATTGTGGTAGTAGGACAACAGGCAGAACATTCAGAGGCATGGAGTCTTCCAGACATATAGGTCAGTGGTTCTAACATTTGGCTGCACCTCAGAATCAACTAAGGGAGCTTTTTCAAAACACAAATTTGTAGGCTTTGCCTAGAATACCCTGACTCAGTAGGTCTGTGATGGGGCCAAAGAATCTGTATGGTTAATAAGACCCCTCAGGGGAGTGGGTATAGATCAAGTGGTAGAGGGCATGCTTAGCATTCACTGGGTCCTGGGTTCAAGCCCCAGTACCTCCTCTAAAAACAAACAAACAAACAAACCTAATTACCTCCCCTTCCCTCCAAAAAAACCTAAAATAAATAAATAAAAATTAAGAAAATAAGATCCCTTGGCGATCCAGACACCATCAGTCCAAGATCTGGCACTGGGTAAACTCTAACCTAGGAAGCTATGCACTCCATCTGTAAGAACATGCTTGGTACAGTGTGGATTTCTACGCTTCTATAAAGAAAACTTTCTTGGCTGGTACAGGAATGCCATGATTATCAGAAATTCACTTAAGAGAAAGCCTGAAATTTATAAATTTGGTAAAATGTTCACACACAGCATAGCACCCTGATACTTCCCATCACTGCCTTTGTTCTTGCTTCTTTTCTACCTTTGGTCAAAGCTGAAGGAAAGTTAAAGAAACTTAATTAAGGCTTTAAATTAAAACCCAATTCATTTCTCACAGACTTTGGATCTTAACTTTAGATGTCACTGTCTCTTCAAGTCCAAAGATAACAATTTATGTAGATATTACTGAGCGAAGGAGTCTGGAAAGAGCAGTAAATTCAAATGCTAATGGAAGAAGAATCAAAAGTATTTTATCATGTGCTTTGGGGCTAAAGAAAAAAATCTCATCAGCTTAAGGAAATTGTAGTTATTAGCCCAAGAAACTCTCAAGACATAGAGAAGACCAAAGGTGAAAAGTCTATCAATATACATTGGGCTCTGCCATTTACCCTCAGGGAGCTGTAACACAGAACACTCAGGAGGTTTCCTCTATCCTTTTTCTCCTAACATACATACCATTTGGTTTGTGGAATTCCTCTCCTACTTCCTATGACTTGGTGGGGCTCTTAATTATACTTATCTCTTTTCTCCAACCACTTCCCCTCACCATTACCGAAGTGGAGTAACTATGACCCAGGATTGGTCAATCATCCCACCACTTTGGTAACCATCAACCGTTCAAGAACAGACACACAACCCTAGCACAGCCAATCAGAATCCTTCCCTGAAATGGACATATGGGTATTGAGAGAAAGTCATTGGAGTTACTAAATTTGAAAGATGTGAAATTGGAGTTGTTGGAGACCGTTTCCCCAGAGGCTTATCTGGAGTAGAAAGAAACGAGGCCAAACCACGGAGAAAAGCAGGGCACAAAGACAGGGAAAGAAGAAAAGACTTGACCCATTGTTTGAGGCCCCGAATTCAGGTATGCTTAAAGCCAGAGCCTGCCCTAAACCGCTCAGATATCAGAACCAATAAATTCCCTTTGGTTTTAGCTGAGTTATTTCAGGGTTCTCCCATCGGCAGTCAGAAGAGCCCTGATTAATGCATGTAGCTATTCCTCAATCTCATCTACGTCCATAGCCTGAAAACAGGGAAGAAAGTGTAATAAATGGTTTGCACCTGCTTAAGAAGTAGATCAAGGTATTCAAATCACTCAGAGAAGAGGGCTCTTGCTTCCTCTTTTGTACCACACCCCGCATACGCCCTCTAGCATCAAGAGTACATTTAATATTTTTATTTGGGGATGCATTTTGCGAGCAGCACAGTATTCTAGTTTGGAGTATTGTGAATGATTGTATTACTGTCTTTTCTAAGAGAACTCTTATTTTCTTTCCAGTATGTGACCTGTATAAACTTTGCTTTTTATAAAGAGGTTTTATTTTTATTTTACTACATTTTCTAAAGATACTTATAGTCAGCATGTTTTAGAGCCCTTATTTGGTCATTTTTAATGGAAGTCAATAAGACAATGTAAGCCACTTCGCAAAATTCCTAAAATGTAATTTATTCTCCTGAGCAAGGGAGGCTTGCATGACTTTTTATGTGCTCAGAAGTGATTGCTCCAGAAATTAGAGTGGATTCATAAAGTGACCCTGGAGCATGGTACTTGATAGAATGACAGAGAATCTTGGAAAGTGGGTAAAAATAATTAGCATTAACTGCAGGCCTGTTGTGAAGCATTTTACCAGGTAACCCAAATGCTTGGGTTTCATCAGCCTAAGATTACAAGTCTCAGCCACGTGTCCATTCATACTAAGACAGATACTCAATACTCATTCCTCTGATTGCCCAAAAGTCACCTTTTCAATGTGACCCAGTGAGAGGGGGCTATCTATGGAGGGGTCAGGAATAGATCTGGAGGATTCTGCACCCCTGGCCTCCTTACCCTGTGGTCTCTCTCAGGGACCCGAGGAGATCACCACTTCAGGGGACACCTCTGTGCTCCCTTCCACCAAGCCCTGGTTCTCTCCATGGTTATCCACAGTCTTGTGTCAGGAAAGAGGTGTGGCTCTCCTCTTGGCTACTTTTCCCACATGTGGCAGTTCTTAGTCAGGAGTCAAATGCACTTAAAACAAAACAAAACAAAACAAAAGGCATATGTTTCATAGAGAGAAGAATATCTCACAGAATCCAAGTGAGGAGGTACAGCCCAGCCTCCTAAGAGACAAAGGGGACAGGGAGTGGTCAGGTACAATAGCAGATATGTATCTCTGTGTCTTCTCTGGGCATCTGCTTCATTCTCCTCTCTGTGTAGTGACTTTCTTTACTTTTTCATCCACAGTATGAAAAATGCCTGTCCCAGCTCTCCTGGTTCCCTCCCCATTTTCTCTCACAGCCATTTTCCTTAATAAATTTCTTACACATTTAATAGCATCTTGATTCTGCTTCTCAGAGGACCTGAACTAACACAGCCAGCATCAATATATTCTGTGTCATTCTATCTTAAAAACTACTATGTGAAGGGCAGTAATTGCCAAGAGCTGTCACTGTGCATAGTCTCTCCTCTGACATGAGGTGAAGTTCATGCCTGTGGTCCCTCCTACAGTTCTCAGGGTTCCCTCATAAAAAAACAAACAAACAAAAAAAAAACTGGAAAAAATTACACTACTCTTCAAGAATGAGCAATAATTTATAGGCTTAGGGCAGTCTAAATTCATAGAGGAAAGGAAAGGTTTCCCCTTCAAGGTGGCTAAAAAAATACACTCAATTTACATTATGAAACACTTCAGTTCTTTATGGAAATCACTATATTTGAGTGCTGTTACTGTATTCAATTTTTCTCTCAAGAACAATGGGTGGGTAGTTTGTGTATATGTGCGTAATTTAAAAACGAAGTGGCAACTTTTCCAGAAAAGAAGGCAATATTCTTAATGTGTATCCAAATCTTCACTTCTTAGCAGGAAGAATCTGCTTGTAACTTTTAAGTTACAATTTTTGTTTTGCTTTAAAAAATTTAAAAACCCAGTCTCTATCAAGACAATCCACTGCATGGGGTGGGGAGTTTAGCTCAGTAGTACAGAGTGTGCTTGCATGCACGAGGTTCTGGGTTCAATCCCCAGTGCCTCCCTTAAAGGGAAGAAAACTTTTTAATTTCATTTTTTTAAAAAAAGACAATCCATGGCACATTTTTGTCTCATTTAATCCTAAATACAATCATGTCTTTCTTTTATTTCCATTTTACAGAAGAGGAAACTGCATTTCAGAAAACTTAGGAA